GTATTCAACTTACTCCTCTCGAGTTCTCATTGAACCTATTTAATTAGTTTAATTCCATATCTCTATGCAAATTAAATTTAATTAAACGAAACATTGATTCTAAGAATTCACATACGAACGCAGCAGTCAATATAAGTATCTCTACACGTTATATCAATTTACCGGATTTTAACATGTGGTCTAAATAAATAATCCGCATCTCTACGCAATCATTGTTCACAAATCATCTAATTAGTGATCAAGTAATTAAATGCATTAAGAACAACATTAAAATCAACACATAAAATACAAAAACACTAGAATCTCAATTGCATGAAATAATGGATTCCAAAAGATTACATTGTTCGCCCTAAAATCAAATTTAACTACTCATAATAATGGAACAAAAATAGGAAATTGTCTTAGAATACATCACCGGATTTGTAATAAAGATGTAGAAGAAAAAGTAGAATTCTTGCACCAAGATCTCATTTCCCTTCCAATGAATGTTTCTAATCTTCAATTGCTTAGTGTTAATTTTCTTGAATTTCTCTTTTCAATCTCCCTTCTTGTTGTCTTCTCTCCAATATGTCAAGAACACGTGGTTTGATTCCACAGATTTTTAGTGTGCGGCTCCCCTTTTATGTAGAAGTAGGGTTTTTATGGATTTAAAAAGGGTCCAAAAAAACGCGCCCTAAATCGTCAATCGCAGCGCTTAGGCACTACAAGACAGCGCCAAGGCGTTGGTCCAAATTTCATCTTTTTTCCATTTCGTAGCGCCTAAGCGCCGTCTTTCTGCCCCAATTCCGTGTTTTTGGCCTCTTCGTCCACTTTAATACTTCTTTTCACATTGCTTCTCCTTATCTTCAAAACAACACTAACAAACACATCAAAAATGTTCTATACTCATAAAATCTAGCATTTAATCAAGCTAAAATTGTGCGAAAATTATGAGTGAAACAAACTCATCAATATAACTCTATAATAACTCAAAGACATGTTGCCCCTGTTTGATCGTTATTCTTTAGAAAAAATACAATCTTAAATAGTGTTTTGATATCATTTCAACCACACATTTTTCAATAAAATAATATTATATACAAATTCAAATAATTTTTTTATTTTTTAACCACACATTTTCTGTCAACACACTATTCAAAAATTCATTCTTATAAAAAGAATGAGGTTCAAACAAAGGCTTAAATAGTTTTAAATATATTTTTCTTTATCTTCTTTCGTATGATATGCAGATGCGGGTCATCTCTCTGATTTACATAAAGCAAAAACGCAAACATGATATATATTTACACGTGGTAGAACAACTATATCATAGAGATCATGAAGTAAATATTGACAACAACATCTTCAAATTATTCTAGAATTATTGCAATTCATGAAACTAATCGATAATGTGTATTGTTGATGAATATGACATATCATATCTAAGAATCTTATGGATTAATTTCAATAAAAGATAAAATAATAATACTAATAATAATAATAATAATAATAATAATAATAATAATAATAATAATAATAATAATAAAGTTATATGAAGATAATCCAGCTTATATTACATAACACAAAGAGGCTATATAAAAAGAAAATATTAATAATAATAATAAATCATATTTCTCTAAAATTCATCTGTGTATAAGTTTCAAAAGATTCGTGACATCAATAATCGATAAATTTGCTCAAATGATAACTTGGCTGTTTTATTCACAAAAGTATTACCAACGTCTACATCCAAGAAATTGCTACACGAGTTAGGAATGTGTCGACCCAGTGATTTATTGTGATCAACATAAAAAATAGTAACTGTACTCTTTTTTATTTGCTTATATTTTATCCCATCGAATTTTCTTGATAATTTTTTAATAAAGCAGCATTTATTTTTAATAATCCAAAAATAAATGTGCACTTTTCCCTTTATTTCTAAATTTATCCATTGATTTTTTATTAAATAAGGTTTTAATGATGCATATATTTGCAATATGTTATTCAAAGGGAATGTTGTAAATTATATGTTTATTGGTGAATGACCATTATATTCCTGAAACCATAATTATTATGAATATTATATCTCTTGTATCCCTAATTTTTCTCTTAAATATGGGATTTTAATCCTCAATAAAATACATACAATCTATTAACTTCTCTATATTATCTTCTCTTTTTCTCTCTATTTTATAATATTTCTAAAATTTTACCAAATAAAAAATTATTTATAGTTTAACAAATAATTTTTAATGTAATATGATTATGTACTTCAATAATTATGCACGATAATTTAATTATAAAAATTATATGATGTAAAATAAATATTAAGTGTGAAAATATGTGAATTTTAATCAAGTGTTAATTACATAAAACCATAGTTTAAGTGTTCAAAATTCCCAAATCAGGGTGGAAGTTTTATATTTCATAAATAAGATTTTTTTATTAATTATTTAAATAAACTAATTATATATATAAAAAAACCCTACACCCACTACCAGTCGTCACTACCCATCTTTCCTCTTTCCCTTGCTCGTCTCTCTCTCCATTCCTCACTTTCGCTGTAGTCACCCCGGTTGCAGGATCTAAAAGATCATTTAGATGCAGCTCATCCTCTAGGTCTTCGCGGAGAGGAAATTGATACCTGTGGAGGCCAGCAAGGGTTTGAAGAAAGGGGATTCAGATTTGGTGGAGGTTGTGCTGGTGAAGTGAAAAGTGAATCGGTGCTTTGGTTGCCGGAGGAAGGTCAGTTGGTAGAGAGAGGATTCAAATTCGGCGAAGATTGTACTGGTGAAGCGAGAGGTGAATCGATGTTCTGGTTGAAATAGATCTACTGGTTCAGCTGAGGTTGGTGGCATTGATGTTGATGGTGGTGGCGTTTGGGGTTGGTGGTGATGCTGGTGGCGTTTGGGATTAGTGGTGATGGTAGTTACTGCAATTGCAAAGCGACGACAGTTTTGTATTGTTTTGCAGTGGTTTGTGCTGGTGGTCGCGGTGGTGAATTGCGATGGTAGTGGTGGTTGTGGCGATTTTATTGATTTTGTGACAAATAATTGGACTCGTGACCTGGAAATTGTGATTATGACTCCCAATTGTAACTCATAATTTGGGAGTAACAGTTGATCGTGACAGTGGTTGTAGTGGTCATGGCAATTTAGTTGATTTGTGACTCACGATTGGATATGTGACCTGAAAATTGTGATCGTGACTCACAATTGGACACAAGACCTGGAAATTGTGATTATGAATCGTAAGTGTTGGTGGTGGTCATAAATTATTCGGTTGATTGTGTACATTAAATTGGTTAATCTGTGACCAATAAATAATATGTGACCAATGAAAAAGATGAATTGTGATCGAAAAATAATGTGTAACCTAAAAAATTGTTAATTTGTGACTGTATAATAAGCTGTGACTTGTAATATTTGTAATTTGTAACCAATAAATAAATTGTGACTTATAAATTTTTCGATTTGTGAATGATGAACAAACCGTGACATATAAAATTTTTGAATTGTGAACAAAAAATAATAAGTGGCGAATTAAATCGTTCATTTGTAACTAAGTTATATAAATCTGTGACTTAAATATATTTAATTACTAAATTAATTAATTAATTAATTAAATTATAAATGATTTTTTAATAAAAATCTGATTTTTAAAATTTGAAACTTGTTTTCTTGTTTTTGAAATGTAACATGATCAATCTCTCACTTATGAAATTTTCCCTTTAATCATATATATATGTAGTACACACAGGAGGAGCCACATTCAACAACACATTATTATGAGGAAACCATACTATATACCCTAAATATAATGACCTCTCTCTACATTCATCTCTCTTCTCTCTAAAATTCCTCTCTATATTCATGATATTCTTTATGCAATAATCATAAAAACTTACGTTGGGCATTTTATGACAACAATATTGCACTGTTCTTGCAAGATTTTAAAGTAAAACTATGAAGAATATTTATGGCAATAGTTGTACTCAAAAGTGACATGATATATTATTTTTTGATGAAAATATGACACGATACTATTTAAAATTGTTATGTATTAACTCTTTTAAAAAAGTGACATACACTTTAAACTCCCAAAATTTGTTGAGTAACTTAGCTTATGTGAAAAATATAAGGATAATTTTATCACTTTTATATTCTTTATGTTGTTCTCTTTTGCCTCCATAACAAATAAAAACATTAATTTTATTTATAGCTGTAAAAAAAATACAAATGAAATAGTGTAAGACTTTCTTAAAAGTAAAAAGTGATAAAGTATGTCACTTTCAAATTTCAACATATTATTTCATATGTAAAAATAAATAAAGTGTTACATCGCGTCAATTTTTATTGTCGAGTAGAGTTTGTATTCATATTCATTTTTAAATTTTTACAAGCAGCACACGTATATGCATTTCTTTAGTTGATCCATATAGAATTCAAATGAGATAGTTTATAACTTTCTTGAAAAAAAAAAAAAAATCGACAGAACGCATCACTTTGAAATTCTAGCACCTTAATTTATATGCAAAGATAAATAAAGTGTTACATCATGTCATCTCTTTAATTTAAAACAAAGTTTGAATTAATATTCGTATTTAAATTTGAACAAACACACTCGTAAGCATTTATTTAATTGATCCAAAAGAGAATTCAAATAAGATGATCTGCAGCTTTCTTAAAAAAAAATGATAGAGAATGCTACTTTCAAATTTTAGCACCTTAATTCATATACAAAATATAAATAGTGTTACATTATCTTGCTTTTTAAGTAATCTAAAGATATTACGATAAAGTTTGTTACCTTCTAAAAACAAAGTGATAGAGCATGTCACTTTTCAACTTCTCATATTCGCATTTACATTTTTATGAACACATTGCAATCATTTAAATTGATCCATAGTTGAATTTTCATATGCATTAACTCAATCCAATTAATACAAATTTGAATTTTCATATACACCAACTCAAAATCATTAATATAAACATGATATTTCATATATACTACCAAAAAAATAATTCAATCAATCAAATTCATAATTATAAAACATCATGATTTGAGTAGTTAAAAAAAGACATTAATTAGTCGTTATCGTGAGAAGTTAGCATATAATTGCTCTTCTTCGACTAAATAATCATTAAATATATCAATTATTACTGAATAATCAAATAAAATATGAACTAATTGAATCAAAGTTAAAAATTACAACATGTAGATTTGTGTTGATTATTTACAGATATGGAGAAGAAAATATATAAAGTCCTGAACAAAAGCTAGCTGATGTAATATTTGTTCTTGTAGCATACAAGATTTCTTCTTTTGATTTCAAATTTTGTAAATTTGGTGGTTTAGGTTCCAGTTTTACTAATTGTGATTCCGCTTCTTATTTACCGTGATTTGCTTATAATGTATTAATTACGTTATTAATGATAACAGTTAATATATTTAGATTTTAGCCCCATATATATATAAATATATATATATATAAACCATCCAATATTGCTTTTTAAAAAAATTAATACTTTGCCAATAACTTAACTATAATCCAACCCATTAGGTCCAAGTCTTCTAAGTTATTTTGATTGAAACCATGTCCAGTGACAACAATGCTACACGTTATCCCAACTTCTCAACTTCCCAATTGTTCAATTGCACACCCCTCTAGTCTTCACTGACTCAACCAAAAAATTGACATTCCAATGACAACAATGCTACACTTTATAGCTCCGAGTAAAGCCCCCTCACATGGGGGAGGGGCCAGGGCATTAATTGGACGTGGGCCCCTCCTCTCACATGAGAGGAGTGTACACCGAGTTGTAAGAGTTTGGTGTACAAGGGGCTTTATTATTCCAGTGAAATTTAACCAATCCAACTTGGTATTTTGGTTTTGGATTGGGCCTAAAATCGATCAATGTGGTCATGCCCACCCTTACCACCGACTCCAACTGGCGACTGACAATCTGCCCGCACGGAAATAATTTTCTAGCTCTGTCCAAGTTAGAATATTGCCAAATAAATAGTGCTTTTTCATTATATCTCTTCTCAAAAATACTTTCATTGACAATAATTCTACCCAAAGTTGTGGTGCTAACAGGATCTTCATGGCTTATTTACGCTGCCCTGGAGTTATCTGTGACTTGCAAAGATGGGTTCACTTGAAATCATAAATCATTGAGTTGCTTGTCCTCACAATCTTTGTCAGAAATTGTCATAACAATATGACAATTTCTTGACAAAAAGAGAAGAAATCTGCCTCAAGGTAAGAAAATTCATTTCAGAACAATGATAGTGTCCAACTTTTATTAGCTTCAAAGCTTGTTTTGGGAAAGCTAAAACAATGTTTTTCCTATTCCATCAAAGTCAAATATCATTTTTAATGACACATTTATAACTACTACCCATTTATTATGTGGGACCTACTACTTTCCTCCAAAAGAATTACTAATAATTTTAGCCAAACAGAAACAGAACAACTTTTTTCTTCGATATGTCCATTGTATTCAAGTCCAATATACCAAGTATGCCATGAAAGTAAAACTTTGAGGGCGTTCGGCTAAGCTTAAAGCCCATTTTTTGCAGTGGCTTAACACACTATTGTTGCACTTTGATGGGAGTGAATTTACCATGCACACCATGAAATCCAACACTAGAAGATGCACCATATAACAACTTCATAGGGTGAAAATATAAATCAGCTGAAGGTACTTACCAACTGGAATGGCAGATTTTCTCATGCGGCCTGACTTCATCATTCCAGGTGCGTTAAGATAGAGTAACAATCTCGGCATCAAATTATCTTGACTTCCAATACATTCCTTATCAGTATAAATCAATTCCCCAAGATCGTCAAAATAGTAGGAAAGTGCCGGATCAGAAGATTGTTGTCCTGCAAGAAATCATGGGACAAAATGTGGAATGTGGCCTTGTAGACATGTGTTAAACCAACGAAGAAATTGTGTACTAAATATCAAACACACAAAAGATGATCCAATGATCAGATAGAAACAATTCCAAGTGTTTCTTTTCCTTTTTTATTTATTTAATCTGGATAGTTAAAAAGGTTTTTTCCGATCCAGGGAACCCCTCACAAAATGAACATTAAGGAGGAAAACTCATACTGGAAATGAATTCCCATCGGACAACTCACTTTATGTTACTGAGACAAAGACTACCAACTCCCCTTAACAATTTTTGACTTCTCGAGTATGAACTTCCCTTCCTTGTACTTCTGGGATGCCACGTAAGCACGTTCATATTTCCAGCCTAACATTTCACGGCAATCTCCACAGTATATGTCAGCAACTGTGTGAAGCCCAGTCGTGAGATGCCTATCTTCTTTGGCTCCAAGAACAATATTCATTGCATGAGAAAACAGAAAGGCTCGGCCATTTCTTCCCTGGAAAACAAAATAAAATGACAACAACATATAGATTTCAACCCTGTTTGCCTCCCATTCTTTCAAACCTTTTTTTTTTCAACATACTCATTTTCAACCACATTCACATAATAAAATATTCTACATGTAAACCTAAAACTTTTCCCTTTTTTCAATCATACATTCTCCAAAAAATCACCATTCAAAACAATGTTTTTCCAAAAAAAAAAGGCCATCAAATGTATCTCAAGTAGAAGCCTAAACAGGACACTCATTCAACCGGACTTATTATATTGTATAACAATGCTACGTTACTCATTGCATACAATATGCTCGAGATAATGAAGTACTCAGAACTCCTACAACTTCGGCTGCATACACACAATTTATATGGTTTGTTTTGGCTGGATGGATTATACAATACTGGACTTAAATAAGAAGAAGAAACTAAAATTTTATCTATTTTATTATTCTGTCCTATTTAATATCACATAGAAAGCATGACTATATTGTTCAATGTTCAACCGGAAATTTGTTATTTGTGACACAGCACGGCCTACAAACAGTGTCGAAGCCTTTGAGATCGTTGGATTGATCGTCACGACACCTCCTGTATCATAGCATAACCAAGCTTACTTAAATATTAGATTCAGACATCCCTCATAGAATTCAAATCAGTTCAAAGAATTTTCATACTAGAACTCCACTTAATCCTACAATGGCATATGAAAGTTGATAATTACGCCCAGTTTGGTGGAGATTAAAATCAGAATTTTAGTAGATTTTGATAAAATTAAAATTCATTGTTGATTTTGACTAAAATTCAGATTTTATTTTTATCATAAACTTGTATAAAACAATATGTGCTAGTTCACACATTTAATTAATCATGCATATCACCTGAAATGCTTTACAAATTATGTCGTCGTGAAGTGAAACCTGATTCCGACATTTACAGCAGCAGTATAAACGAGGTCCAACAAATTCATCCATCCACCAAACTCAGCCAATAAACCTCATTGATCACAAAACCCAGATTTAGAATAAACATCATAAAGGAACTTGTAAGAGATAAAGCAAAGTGAAATTGAGGGAAAGATCATGAATTCTTACCTTTAAGAAATTTAATGATGACCCAGAATTCTGCATCCAAATATATAAACATCAGATAGTGTATTATGCAAGAAGATGAAGAATTGGATTAAAAAATTAAAAAGAAAAGCAAGAATCAAAAACCATATACAAACCCTTCGCCTTCAAGAAAATTATCGATGATCTGAAATCGGCTCCAAAAGATGGGAGCAACAGTCAGTGTGTGTGTGTGTGTGTGTGTGATGACCCAGAATTCTGCATCCAAATATATAAACATCAGATAGTGTATTATGCAAGAAGATGAAGAATTGGATTAAAAAATTAAAAAGAAAAGCAAGAATCAAAAACCATATACAAACCCTTCGCCTTCAAGAAAATTATCGATGATCTGAAATCGGCTCCAAAAGATGGGAGCAACAGTCAGTGTGTGTGTGTGTGTGTGTGTGAATTCAACAATGGGGTTAAGGATTCAACTAAGAAATTAAGATTTTAAAGGAAAATCTCGAATGAGTATGAAAAAGACAGGATTGTTTCAAAGAAACAGGAAAACCAATTGTGGAATGATGTCGAGAATCAACAGTGGTAGACTAATTAGAGAAACCCGTGTATGATATAAATTGGCATTATTCTTTGCTTGGAGTCATTCGGAAATTGGATTATGGATAAAAGTCGATTGGCGGCATGTTTGGCCAAGCTTAAAAATGAAAGAGCAAAAATTCTCAAATACCTGGCATTTATTTTTGGCGAAATTTTATAAATTAAAAGTAATTTTAAGCTTAACCAAACAAGTATATTAATATTTTGGCACTTCACCTTGGACTTTATAGCCGCCATTTTTTAGTTTTTAAGAGAGGATTGGGGAAGATTTTCTATTTTGTGCCTGGTTTCGATCTGTATTGTTTTGTTAAAACGAGAAAGTTCATTTCACGCGCGTTCGAGAGCGTGCAGAATTTTTTTCCTCTCCCGAATTCTGCACGCTTTTTCCAATGTCTAGAGAGTCGGGTGTCAATTTTGCTTCAGTAACCAACAGTAGGTTAATTTCAAATTAATTACATAGGAGGTCACTGAACTTTTACCCTAATTGTAATTGGGTCTCTGAACTACAATTTAGAGCAATCAATCCATTAAAACTTTGACGTAAAAGCAACCAGGTCACCCTTTGAGTTCCGTTAATATGCCTATCAAAATTAGTTAACATTGATATTTGTCCAAACTAAAAAATATTCACGACACTATCCAAGTCAACTCGTTTATAGTTAGAAAATTATAGCAAAAGTTCAAACGTTTTATTTTACAGTAGATTACACTTTGACCTATCATTTTTGAGACTGTAGTCACAAATCTTTATATTTAACTACGGTCGTTGTCCAAATCACTAATTCCATCCATAATGCCGTTAGTCAATAGTGAAACTACAATTTTGACTCTCAAATGGACAAATTAAATGAGGGGCAAAATGGCATATTTATAATTTTCATAATAAAATAATTAAAAAAAAAAAAGAATTACTGTTCACCTTTCCTAGCTGCAATTAAATATAAAGGTCTGGGACTGCAGTAGTAAAAACGAAAGATTAGGATGTAATTTGCAAAAAAAAATGAAAGATTTGGATCCTCTGCTGCAATTTTTCCATATACAACACTCTAGGTTGGTGAGCTTTCACCCTGATTGCAACATTCTCACCGACCTTTAGCCTAGAATCAATTGGATCACTAAACTTCAACAACCATGATACATGTTCATGAATGTATAAACAAACTTTTTAAGCAATTTGTCATAATGAAAATATTCGTTTAATAACTAACAATTATTCCCTACGAATTTTCATACTTTAAAATTGTTGAGTAATGACCTCATTATCCATCTTACGATATATCTCTTTCTTAATATAAATAATCAGGCTACCTATTCATTCAACGATCATCGATCCAATTGAGCAATCTATTGTTCATAATATTCATACAGAAAATGCTCTTTTTATGGTAGCATTAGCAACTAGAAAAATTAGTGTCAGAGTGAGGAGATTGTTAAACCAATGAATATACCTTACTTTTTATTTTATTTTTTTAATCATAACTAATTTCTTTGTAAGATCACCAAGGTCATTCAATCCTTCAAATTTACTAACCACCTATTAAAAAATTGGCTACAAATTTTTTGTCCAAAACTTCATTTAAAAAAAAAAAAAAGACTCAAAACTAAAATTTGATTTGTTTTGCAGCTATGGTTGCCTTTCAATACATTTTCATTTGTTGTTCCCTACCCCCACCACATAATCTATATTTCATCGCCATGCCTTTTCTCAAGGACATTCTAGTGGATGTCGTTGTGCTACTTGGTGTTGACCGTTCTTTCACCTCATTCATCCTATTCTTTTTTGGTCTTCTTGCCCTCTTAGTGTACTCTTGAGGAGTCAATGGATTTAGTCCTAGATTTGGCCACGAATTTGAACCTGTGATTGGGAAAATGGAAAGTGTGTAAGTTCGAGTATATGCATCCTTCTTGTAAACATCATCAACATAGTTCTTGATAAAATAGATGCTACGAGAGAGTATTGAAGCAATGCCATGGCTGCAAGGAATCCTAGTCAACTTCTAAGAACATGAAGATGTCCTCACACCAAGATGAATTGCATGTAGCACTTAGTTAGAATCTTTGATCCTCGAATACTCTGCATATTCAAACCTTGCAAATGTTCTATTTTTCATATAACATCATAAGAATAGGCTTCTCTCGTATACTCAAGATGGTTCTATTGAATGATTTATGTAAAAATCCTAAAAGATTTTAATTTATTTATCGTATTTAAACATTACCATAGTTAGTAGACTATAATTAGGTGATTTACTCTCTCCTAATTTAGGGGATTCTTTCCCTTTTTCTTCACACGGTTGTATTATAAAGTGGATGTATAGTTATTTTTTGAAGAATAAGAAATACAGAAAATAATTTATGCTTTCAGGGTATCAGAGACATGTTGAAATCAATGACGGAAGTCCTTATCAACGGTTTAGGCTCCATGACCTCTAAATCCTCACATAGCGAGGCAAAAATGAATTCTATGATGCCCTCGATCGAAGTAGATAATGCTCCCTTTCAACTTACGTTGGAGAAATTGAATGGAAGAAACTTCAGAGAATGTGTTCAATCAATAAAATTGGTAATTGATGGCAAATGAAAGCTAAGTTACCCAACAGGTGTAACCAAAAAGCCAACTAATGTAGTTCTCTTGCAAAAATAGAAATTCGAAAAACTCCATGGTTATAGCATGGTCGATAAATTCCATGGTGCCGTCAATTAGGAAAACGTATCTCTTCCTGCCGATCGCGAAGAACGTGTAGGACGTTGTCAAAGAGATATATTCACACTCAGAAAATTCATCTCAAATTTTTGAACTAAAGACTTGGTTATGGCATACTAAACAAGGAGGAATAAACTTTACTGAATATTAGTTAGAGATGACCTCTCTCTGGCATGAACTGGACCTCAGTAGCGAGGAAGATTGGAAATGCCTCGGAGACAGTGTTAAGTAAAAAAATAAAAAGAAGCTTGAAAACGAACGCGTGTATGAGTTCATCACTGGCCTCAATCACGAACTTGACGATGTTATCGATGCAATCGATGAAGTGGAGATGTCGGCTCTTCCATCTTCAGGCTTTAGGTCAACTGGGAATGAAATTGGGCCACCACAATTTGGGCTAAATTCTCCTTTATGGCTAGAACCGGGTTGTGGAAAAATGGGCATAATATTTCTAATTTTGGGCCTACTATTGGACTTACTAATTTTGGAAAATAGTAGGCTTTCAAATTTTGGGCCTAGAATGGCAACTTTATCAAAAGAAGATACAAATGGATCGGGCTAAAAGCAAAAAGGGCAACTGTGGTGCAAACACTGTCGAAAACCTAGGCACAAAGAAGACACTTGTTGGGACATATATGGGAAACATAAAGATTGGAAACTTAGACAAAATATTAAAAAATCATGCATCAAGTCTCGATCGATCAGAATGGAACCTCCAAAGAAACAGAAGGTGGAGCATTCAACGATGAACAATTGGAACAACTCTGTCAAATCTTCTCCAACCTTCAAACATCGATTCGATCTTTCACACTCCTTCGAGTTCATTAGCCCACATAGGTAGTTTTCTAAAAGCCTTAAATATTTCCTCAAAATATAAAACTCCTTGGATCATTAACTCAAGTGCTGCCAATCACATGACGGATTCTTATCATCTTTTCTCTTCATAGTCACCATGTGCTGGCAATATCAAAGTTAAGATCACAGATGGATCACTCTCCTATTGTGCGAAAAAAGGAGTATTCGTATCTCTGAGAAGCTAGTCATGTAATCTATTGTATGCCAGTCAATTAACTAAAGAATCCAATCGTTGTGCTAAATATTCTCAATCCTATTGTGTCTTTTAGGACCTATAATCAGGGAAGACGATTGACAACGCTAAAGAATGTGAGGGATTTATTACTTTGAAGATGTTGATGTGAGTAAACAATGTCAAACTGCTATTTATGATTTTATGTTTGTCTCTAGCGATACTGATATTCTATTATGGCACTGTAGAATGAGTCACCGTGTAGCAACCCAAAAATTTTATAGATAAAAATTTATTTATTTTGTATATTATATAAATCCCTATTTTATTTGGGTCTAATAATTAGATTTTCGCAGATCAAGATTTAATATATCAATATTGGGTTTGTTGGATAGATCATATTAAATCATGAATTTTAGGCTCGAGAAAAAGAAGTTAATTTGGATAAGTTCGGCCAAAGATATCGCAGTTCTAAGAATAGATGTTATTTTAAATTGGTTTAGGATTTGGTGTAGTTGGAGCCACTAGTTTCACATGTATATAGGAATTCAACATTGTATTTGTAATTGTAGTGGTTGGTCATGATTCTACTTTTGATTTGATAAGTATTAATTATATATATATATATATATATATATTTATCATAATCAAGAACATGAATCACATTATGATTTGCTTTATCAAAAAAGTTTAGCTTTATCCAATTTGGTGGTACACGTCTCTTTCATCCCAATTTCACCAAAATTCTATTGTCTTTTTTCAACTATAAATACAATGCCAAAAACCTCATTATTGACTATCAAAAATAAATACAATACATACGGGAAGGAGAGAGAGAGAGAGAGAAGAAAGAAAGAGATAGAGAGAGAGAGAGAGAGAGAGAGAGAGAGAGAATAGCATTGGAAGTA